GTTGTGTGTTGTGTGTTGTGTGTTGTGTGTTGTGTGTTGCGTGTTGCGTGTTGTGTGTTGTGTGTTGTGTGTTGTGTGTTGTGTTGTGTGTTGTTTTGTGTGTTGTGCGGCGTGTGGTGTGTGGTGTGTGGTGTGTGGTGTGTGGTGTGTGGTGTGCGGTGTGTGGTGTGTGGTGTGTGGTGTGTGGTGTGTGGTGTGTGGTGTGTGGTGTGTGGTGCGTGGTGCGTGGTGTGTGGTGTGTGGTGTGTGGTGTGTGGTGTGCTGTGTGTGGTGTGCGGTGTGTGGTGTGTGGTGTGTGGTTTGTGGTGTGTGGTGTGTGGTGTGTGTGGTGTGTGGTGTGTGGTGTGTGGTGTGTGGTGTGTGGTGTGTGTGGGGGTGTGGTGTGTGTGTGTGTGTTGGGGGTGTGGGGGTGTGGGGGTGTGGGGGTGTGGGGGGGTGGGCGTGTGGGCGCGTGGGCGTGCGGGCGTGTGGGCGTGTGGGCGTGTCGTGTGGGCGTGTGGGCGTGTGGGGGCGTGTGTGGGCGTGTGTGTGTGTGTGTGCGCGTATGTGTGTGTATGTGTGCGTGTGTGTGTTTTTGGGGGGCCTTTCGTGGTGCTGGTAGGGAAAAACAAGGAAACCAAACAACATTTATGTGACCCCTATTTTCTGCTTCGAAGCCATAGCAAAGCGAGGCATCTCGTCATCCACATGTTGTGTTGGTTGCTTACGGAAAAGCAAAAAGGGAAACACCAAGTGTGGCAGTCCAAACCCATGTTTTGATGCATACCCGCAAAGTTTCGGGGAAAGGCCAAGGGGCTGTTGCCAAACTTCTCGGCTTGCACCTCCATCCGATCCTCCTACGTGAAACAACGTCTCTTCCCTTTGGTTGGCTTCATGTTGTCCTTTCTTCTTATGTTTGCTTTCTCACTGTCTCGCTTGTTTTCTTTTCTGTTCTTTATTTCTTTATTTCTTTATTTCTTTATTTCTGTATTTCTATATTTCTTGATTTCGGTATTTTTTACTTCTTTATTTCTTTATTTCTGTATTTCTTTATTTCTTTATTTCTTTATTTCTTTATTTCTGTATTTCTTGATTTCTGTATTTCTTGATTTCTGTATTTCTTTATTTCTTTATTTCTTTATTTCTTTATTTCCTTATTTCTTTATTTCTTTGTTTCTTTCTTTTTTTTTCTTGCTTTCTTTCTTTCTTTCTGTCTTTCCTTCCTTCTTTCTTTCTTCATTTCCTTCCTTTCTTTCTTTCTTTATGTATTTCGGTCTTTCTTTCTTTCATTCCTTCCTTCCCTCCTTCCTTCCTTCCGTCCTTCTTTCTTTCTTTCTGTCTGTCTGTCTGTCTGTCTTTCTTTCTTTCTTTCTTTCTTTCTTTCTTTTCTTTTTTTATTTCTGTCCTTCTTTCTTTCTTTATTCTTGTCTTTCTTTCTTTCTTTCTTTCTTTCCTTCCTTCCTTCCTTCCTTCCTTCCTTCCTTCCTTCCCTCCCTCCCTCCCTCCTTCCTTCCTTCCTTCCTTCTGTCTGTCTGTCTGTCTGTCTGTCTTCCTTTCTTTCTTTTCTTTCTTTCTTTCTTTCTTTCTTTCTTTCTTTCTTTCTTTCTTTCTCCTTCCTTCCTTCCTTCCTTCCTTTTCTGTTCTGTTCTTTTCTTTTCTTTTCTTTTCTTTTCTTTTCTTTTCTTTTCTTTCTTTCTTTCTTTCTTTCTTTCTTTCTTTTCTTTCTTTCTTTCTTTCTTTCTTTCTTTCTTTCTTTCTTTCTTTCTTTCTTTCTTTCTTTCTTTCTGTCTCTCTTTCTTTCTTTCTGTCTCTCTTTCTTTCTTTCTGTCTCTCTTTCTTTCTCTCTTTCTTTCTTTCTTTCTGTCTTTCTTTCTTTCTTTCTCTTCTGTTCTTTTCTTTTCTTCGCTTTGCTTTTCTTCTCTTTTCTTTTCTTTCTTTCTGTTAGTATTTTCATTGTTTTCTTTCTTTCCTTCCTTTCCCTTTCTTTGTTGTCTTTCTTGTTCGTTCTTTTTTTGCTTAACTCTTGTCTTTTTCCTTCCTTCCTTCCTTCCTTCCTTCCTTCCTTCCTTCCTTCCTTCCTTCCTTCCTTCCTTCCTTCCTTCCTTCCTTCCTTCCTTCCTTCCCTCCTTCCCTCCTTGCTTCATTGAACTATTTCTTTCTTGTGTAATCTGTCTGTCTCTCTGTCTCTCTGTGTCTGTCTGCCTGCGTGTCCCTGACTACCCTCCACCTGGCCGGGGTTTGATTCTTTGGGTTTCTGGTTGAGTCCGGCGTTCACAGCCACAACTCATAGCGCCATCTGAAAATGGCCGAGGGTCCTATCACTCGCTTGAAGAAAGAAGAGCGAGGGCAATGCTTGGGCTTGGATCTATTTGCCTTCTCGATTGGCCTCGTTTTCGGGGACACTCCCAAATGGGTGTTGTTTTCCTTTTGGTCTTTTGATCTCCTTTTAAACCAACCCCTTAAACGGCACCCTTAAACAAAGGACACCCCCTGAAAGAAGAAGTCGAAATTCGAAATCTGAGAATCTCGGCCCACGTCCAACTGCTCTGACCATAAGAGATGGTTGCTTCTCAAAGTACAAGAGTCCCCTAGAACTCGTGGTTCGCTTTGCTTCCCAATAAATAACTTTTCTAATAAAAACCAAAATTGGCACCCCTCTCTGGAGAGAGACTCCCAATGCACATATACATGAATTCTACAGTTCTCTGTGGTTACATATATCTGTATGTGTGTGCGTGACGTCTTTTTCTGGAAAGAAAACCAAACGAACACCACCAGGAAAAGACGAAGGAAACCTGCAATCCATTTTGGGGAGTCCACGCAGGGAAACCGGATGCAAAAACCATTTTAACTGGCTGGTTCCGCAGGCAGGGAAAGAGAAACGGAACGACCCTCAGAAAAACCAACTTTATCGCACCTATGCCTGGAGCCAGGTTCCAACGAGCCATTCCCATGTCCTCCAACTCGGGAATAGGCAATTTGTAATAGCGAATCGCCGGCTGGTTCCGTATGGCCAAAAGCTTCGGAGCGCCCGAGCTCGCACTCATCGAGCAGCTTTCGAAAGGCGCAAGAGCGCCGCCGCACCTGGGCTGAAGCTGAATGCACACAGTCGTGCGGCGGCCGTACAAACGCAGGTTCCGCGTTTGTTTGCGGAGAGACATCTCAAGAAAACCCCACCTTCAACAAGACAACCAGCGTACAATTGATTCATCAGACATGAGGAAACAGAATAGGTGGTATCTTTTTGTTGGGAGAATCAGAGAAGGAGAGGCCAAGCCTATCGGCAGCACTCAAAACGACTGCCCGGCCGCGCCAACACCGTCGACGAAAAAGTCAGCTGGCTTAGATGCGAGGACCTCATTGATGATTGGGTCACATTCACAACCGTTGCAGCAGAGCGTCGGGACCGCTCCTCAAAAGCAGACTTGTGGGCGACGCACACATGTATCACTGCATCATAATACTTTGCTCCGAGATAGAACCGAAGGGGTCAACTACTTCAAGAGCACGTTGAAGAAGTACTTCCTCAAAGGACCAACGTGTACACAGAGTTTCTCACTTTCATCTCCGAGTTCGAGATCTTGCTACGAAGGTTGAAAATCCTCGTGGAAAGATCTGATGCTCATCATCACGGCGCAAGTACCAGTTTTTTCAATCAGTGCGAGATGCAAATAACAGAAGCGCCGCACGGCCTCAGCAACCATCTCAGGCTGGAGCGCTGCCCGGAATTCCTGAACCCGGACGACGCGGAGACGTTGAGAACATGTGTCAATGGAATGCAGCAAAGACCCCGTGATGCGTTTCCACTCAATGATAACCTCGTTGCGCAACTCTTCATCATTCAGAATGAACTCAGATCAGCAAAGAGAAAGACCTGATCGAAATGTCTTTGGGGAACATCCAGCTTGTGAGACGCTCTCGATACAGCAATCACAATCTCTTCATCACGAGCAGAACAATGATCCCGACACTGCCACGAGGTTCACGTCAGAATGTCCTGCCTGGGCAACAAGCCAAACCTGATGCTCATGCCTCATGACTCTGGTTCCAAGACACGATAAGACACGGTTCGAGCTCACATTCGCGTTCCCGAAGTGTGACGGAGGTAAAAAAAAATGGAGACTTGCACAAGGCAAGACGGGACCATCATCACGGTGGATCAGCAGCTTGCCACCAGGAAGGTCCTGCAAGCTTGCACGGCCCATCCCTGAAAGTTAGGACTACCGAACCAAGGAAAGGAGTGTAGCTATGGCCTTCCAAACAAGTAACGGCTCCCCCAACATCACAATCATGCCACCAAAGATTAGAAAGAAAAAGATCCTGGGGCTCCTCAGCCAGGCTCCGGTGTCCTGCACTAGCATTTCTCAAGAAGACGTGCAGAACATGTCTTTGACAGTCCATGCTACGAACAACAAAGAGCTGCTCAAAATCCTCGAGGATGGCCTGAGACCTGGCAAAAAAAATCATCATGGAGGCAGGCAACATGTTCACACGGCGCGTAGACAAACTCATGGTCTTTGAGCAACCGGTTTCAATGCGGGGGTTCTTCACGCACATCAGGCATAAGGCATCGGCCGAGACTCGGAAGAGAAGGTATCCCGGCAACAGCATCACGAACTGGACAAACATCAAGAATATCATCTACCACCAAGCACACTTCAGATACCAAACATCAATCGTTATCTCTGCTCAACATGTTAACCGCAAATCTCGGCAACCTGACACAGGACCCGAAGCTGGACAGACGAGCATCAATGCAATCCCAATTGATGAGAGGCCCATCGCCAATGGTTCCGCGAAGGGCGACAACTCAACTGCTCGTCAAAGCGTTCATCAACGAAGGCTTCGTTCTGGGTCATGGGGAGCAAGACCGCTCCCATGATTCGCCCGCGGCAACACATCATCACGCGTGGAGCTACTTGCATCCGCGAAGAGCCAACATTGGGACTCTATATTCGGGGTCTCAGATGCTATTTCGGAACCGCAGATGGCGATGAGGACCAAGAGCACATCAAGCTGACATCAGATTGCTTGCTGAATGCAGGAACGAGAGCGACTGGCACATCTACATTCAGAGCAAGCTGGAACAGCTATGGTGGATGGTAAAATGACGACAATTTCTGGAAGGAGGGGCGCTCATCCGAGAGTAGGGCCACTACAACAAGGGCCACAGGATATGACCTGCTTTTTCAAGCAATCATCAGATCCCAAATTCGCGACCACCAATGGCACCACGATACAACCAGCCGAGCTTTGTCACCTCATCGTCTGCAAGAACTTCATCGAAGTGAATGAGTCAATATTTCTCCCAGGACACATTGGTCCATAGCTTTTCAAGTCAATGCATCTTCACAGCCCAAAAGATGCCGAACCATTCTGACACTACTCCTCAACTTTTGCTTCCATTTCTCCACGCGCGCGCGAAGCAGAGTAAAGTTGCAACATGTTCTGTACATATCGTGTAGATACAAGACAAACCCCACATGTCCGAGGCGCAAAAGAGAGCGACTATTTTGATCATGCTCGAAACTCATCTAATCCCTGTTGTCAACAGCTACGGCACACACCGAATATGATTCGGTGCCAAATGTTGAGAGCTATTTTTGCTCTCTCTTTTTTCAGCAGAGCAGTCATCCCATAGCTCTTCTGTAGAAGAAGGGAGCGCACTTCGCTCCACGTGTACCAATACCAACAATACATATTCGAGGCACTTCCAGTACAATTCATGGACCTAAAACAGATCCAGGGCCACAGAACTGCTACCACAGTGGGTGACTTCTCCTTGGGGATTAGTTGCCCCCGAGCCATGTTGAACCGACCCAAAACAATCGCTAAACCGAGCAGCCTCCGGACCCACTTGCGCTTGGAAGCAACGCCGCCAGTTTTTGTTTAGCAATGGATGTTCAGGCATGAAAAGTCACCCAGTGAAGTTAACCAGCGACCCCCCCCCCCCCCAGAAGATGCATCAATTTCCTCCCAAAGATTAGAAGAAAGACTCTAATTGGCGGGTATTCCAGAAGCGGTGATCTGACAAAACTGCGCAAACTTGTTGTTCCTCCCTTTTCCCTGACAAGGTGAACCCTCCACACGCAAGCAAGCAAGCAAGCAAGCAAGCAAGCAAGCAAGCAAGAACGCACGCACGCACGCACGCACGCACGCACGCACGCATGGGCCATTGTCGAATGGCACGGTCATACCTCAAAAGTCTAATCGGTAAAGTAAAAGAACCGGTTGCTTGACACAATCCTTAGGGAACGTCCGTTAACTCAAGCCTTTCCAACGGGAGACCAAAAGGCAAACCACAATATTTATAAGGTCGCTATTGCTAAACACATACCCACACGGACATGAGTGTTACTTAGGGACCTGGTGGACAATAGAATTGTGTGCAAAGAAAAATTCCCAACCAGGTGCGAACTCTTAAGATAGCCATAATTACTGTAGATGGGCGAAATCCGTTCCCAGCACAAAATGAAACCATGGTTGAAACCATTGTTTATTGGTATTTGCGTGAAGGGTGGTGCGACAATCGTCCAACCATGCTCAGTATCAACTGCAAAGACCCGCACCGAAGATCTCCCATCCCAACCCTTATTCCACCATCAGCCCCAAAGTGATTGAAGGGTAAAGCAGTTTTTCTGGCTCGGATCCCCTCAAGAAACAGCCAACGCACCCCAGATCTCCCTTTTTCCCCCCCCCCCCAACAAAAACAAGGGAACACACCAAATAGCACAAAACAGAAAAACTTGATCCAAGAACCCTGGAACCCCCACATAGGTTGCCTTTTGGAAAATCGATGGGCCTGGTACATGGAACCAAGCCCATCTCAACCCGTTCCCTCCATGTTTAACCAAACTCACCTAAAAGGACGCCTATGCCCCTCCCCAAACACGCCAATTCCCCCCCCCCAAAACCCACCATTTAAAAAAACAACGCCTATACCCCGTCCCCCCAACCCCCCCCCCCCTCCAGGCGCTTGGCGTCCGACGTGAGGAACAGCGACAGAGGGCCTTCGGCCAGGAAGTGCCACACCGAGCCGGAGGCACCCGCGGCACCTCCGGAAAAAAAAAGAAAAAAAACGCGATCCTTGCCCCTCTTCCCCCATAGCAGAGGTGTGTTTTTGTCCCCCAGGGCGAGTCTTTCTTCGCAGTTATGCCCCAACCGGATCCGCCCCGCAAGCAAACAAACAAGACACAAAAAAACAAGCTCAGGCGATACTCAACAGCACCACCCTCCCAGAACCCTCGCGCACTCCGCCCGGACCACCCCGGAACCTTCGCGGAGCTTCCCCGGAGCCTTTTTCAGACGGCGCACGACGCATTGCTTCCCTCCACGCCAAACCACCCACTTGTCGAACCTAGCAGAACATTTGTGGAACCTTTGTGGAATCTTGTGGAGCCTTGTTGAACCCTTGTGGTGGAACCCTTGTGGAACCCTTGTAGAATCCTTGTGGAACTCTGTGGAACCCTGTAGAACCTTACCTCAGGGCCGCCCCGGACCACCCCGCAGCCCTCGCAGAACCTCAAACCACCCCGGACCACCGCGCAGCCGCAGAACCTGGTGGAACCCTGGTGGAACCTGGTGGAACCCTGGTGGAACCCTCGTGGAACCTTACCTAAGGGCCGCCCCGGACCACCCCGGAGCCTATCTGGGCTGAGACCCCAAAAGAAAACGGGGCGGCTCCGCTCGATGGACCACGCTGGACCAGCTCAGCCTGAGTTCTTGGCAACGTCTGACCCGGGGATCGGACGTTGCCCCCGCCTGCTGTGGGAGGTCCGACCTGGAAATGGAGCCGCGTGAGCGGCCGCTGCCTTCTTCGGGCGCGGATCTTGAAACCCACCACCAACATCGCGATGCAGAACCTCACAGCTTTCAGACACTTGGGCCGAAGAGAAACTTGGAAAAACCTAGGGGCCTAGGTGTCCGGTTTTCTTGGGGGTCCTTTATTTGGGGGGTCCTTTCCTGACAACCATGGGTGCCTTGACGTTAGGTAACTTGCGATGACTGCCAGAGGTAGGGAGAGTGGTTGAATGAACCGTAGGGATTCCCGAACAAAGGAAATCACCAGTTGGATGGTTCATAAGGGTTATTCCCTCGTTCACCAGCAAGATAAGCCGTGCAGAAATTTGTCCATGGCTGGGATACTCACCACTTACTTTGGCAATGACAAGGGTCAATCCCTCCCAAGAAGGATTTAGTCCATGGGTAGGTAACTCAGTTACTCGCCACTTACTTGGCAACAGGGGCTGCCTGGATTTCCCCAAATCAACAGTTGATCAACTGGTGGTGTCCATTGAAACAATTGCCACTTGAGATTCCCTCTAGCTTTCCGTTGAGCCCCCTTGATTTTCCTAAACATGTCCTACAAGGGATTTCAGTTCACTTGCCTTTGTGGACAATATCTTCGTTTTATAGCAGCCAGACGGCAAGAACCAGCTGATTTTCAGAACCAGCTGGACCTCTGGAAGATGTCGGTCCTTCGAGTCGGTCCTGGACTACCTTCCAGAAATTTTGGTTGGAGAACATTCTGCGAAGCTCTGTTTACTTGGTTCCTTGCTTCGCCTTTTCGTGCAAAAATTAAGTCGAACACTCAAGTAAAGTTGAGTCGCAATCAAAACCTCGTGCTAAAATGGTCGTACTCCCAGAGCAATGTACAGGATCAAGAAGGAGCTATTTCTGGTTGGGACTGCCCTTACTGACCTTCATCTGCTCAGTTGACCACGCTAAATTCACCCAAGGGACAGGGGCGGAAGCAGCAGCAAGATGCAGAGCTTGCAGAGCAGCTCATCCTCCTCCTCGGTCACGCTGTCATGATCCAGTTCAGTCCTTGCGGAGTTTTCAGGGGCCTCTGGCCTGGACATAGCCATTGAGGCAACGCTTAGAAGTCGCATGGCCTCCCCCCAGGAAAACAAAACACACAAAAAAAAAAAAGGACACGGGATGACATACTGTGGATGGACGAAGTCCGTTTCGCACCACCAAACAGAAACTCTGGTTTCTGATAGATCCCCTTACAAACACCAGCCAAAAAAAGGCTTCAACCATGGTTTCAAAGCGGTGCGAACGGATTGCGTCCATCCACAGTAGCCACCTTTCCGTAGAAGTCGCATTTTTGCCTTCAAGGAAAAACCGTGCTCGGCGGCCAGGCGGCCAAAAATAGACGTTGGAGCCATTTTCTGCCAAGGTCTTGGCGTCCAAAGCAGCAGATGCCTTTAAGGGGCTGCAATGCTCTTTCTCGAGCTCTGTCTCCACCTGAAGTGATGAGCCTTCAGGCAGCTTCAGGATGGTGTGACGATGACTGTCCAGCTGGAAATCTGCGGTTTTGTGATCAGAGGTAACTTTCACCTTCAATCGGAACTTCTCCTGCTGAGGCGACAGATTGTGTAGTACCACATGAAACCCGTCCTCTGCTGATTTGCTGAAAGCCAACATCTTTTTGAGGCTACCCTTTTTGGGCTGCTTTAAAGGGAAACCAAATTGAAAGCCACCCACTTGAGTCCGAATTTCCCTAGACACGCCCAAATCCCAGAAGACTCCCTTTGCCGAGCTTCTTCCGATCCGGCGCTGCTTGCCTTCTGGTCGCCTTCATGTTTGGCAAGGTCCTTCACGGCATCGAATTTCTGAGCCTCACCCAACTTGTCTCCTCTCTTGAGGAAGATATCATCTTGGTAGGTCTGGACATACACATGTCTGCTTATGAAGTCCTCAGCAGGAAACTGCCTGTCCCCCTGCCACTTCTCCCCGTTGGCTGGAGACTTGAAGGTGCTTCGAAGATGCACCTGCGAACTCCCGTCGGGAACAACCACCATGGCAGAGTTGTCGTGGAAGTGTTTCCGGTGGGCTTCAGATTCCTCCAAAGGCTGCTCAAAATGCTGACCCCATATTAATCAACCCCAGTTTATTAATACGGGGAGGGGGGGGGGGGTCCCCTCCAAAAGTCACGATTCCCCACTGAAAACCAACAATTTTAAAGAAAACCCCTCGCCCCTTAAAACGATCGATCTCGGCTTCGCCGGCCAAACAAACCAATTCTCTTGAAGGGGGAACAGCTCCCTGGTATCACAGAAGGAAGCAAGCCCTCATGTTAACAATTGATAAGTGTGATTATCTTCACGTACTTCTACAAGGCCAACTGCAAAACCGCCAACAAAATCTCCACCTTCTTCGACTCGCCATGTTCGGAAAGATCAAACCAAAAAAAAGAAGGAAGAAAGAAAAAAAAAGCGTGGTGCGGGCAATGAGTCCTGCTCCCCCGGCGAGACGTGAAATAGGTCCAGTGAAGTGCCGATTTGGCGGATAGGACCTGACGCTGCAACTGACCTGCAACAAGCAGGCTTCCACTTTTTGACTATGCCAAGATAGACTCAAACCAAACCCTTAGGTTCAAGTCTATCTTGGGTACTCAAAAAGTGGAACCCTCGCAACAAGTGTTCCTGTTCCCACAGACTGAAATTGTCATTTTTTGTCGTTTCTGAGCCGAAGGAAGGATGAAGAGAAGAGCATGGGGAATCAACTTGTCCGACATGTTCGTAGACCACACTTACTCCCCAAGTTCGCCTGAACAAACCGTCGGAGAGGAATCTTCTGGAAGTGTTGGAATATGTCCGAAACCTGATGTTTTGGGGGGAAACAACCTACCTCATAGTCTTCCGCCCTTGCCCGGAAATTGGAGTTTGTTTGAAGCCCACCAAAAAATAGGCAGAACCTTCTCTCGAGTCACAATCAAAACCCGGTACACAAATGGTTAACCCAGAACCGTGTAAAGAACTGTAAAGGCGCCCGCACCCATTTATGGCTGGGATTGTCCTTTACTGCCCTCCTATTACCCGGGCTTTGACTGCGGCTCGCTTTTCCATTCCATGATTCCTGACAGAGTTGTGGCCTAGTATCAGCGTGAAGTAAGCACTGATGGACAAAACATCCACACCAGTTGGCACCAGTTTTGATGAACACTACTGGTGGAGTACAACCAGTTGCAGGTGTTGCTCGCAAAGTTTAACCCTGGCTGACCGGATAATAAGCCCGGATAATAAGCCCCTGGCACATTCTGACCAAGGTGTCGCTTTAGTGGATCAAACGACCTCAAAAAGATACCTCCCACACAAAAACGGCGAAAAACAGGGCGGACTCCCACATTTTTCATCCGGGTCCCAATCGACATCGGTCTGTCCTTTTGGAGGCTGCTCCTCTCGGTTTTAATGGGAACTCGTTTCGACCGGAACCGAAATCCACTTGCCACACCCAAACCTTCAACATCGGTCGCTTGGGATTGCCAGGGGACAGTAGTGGTACACGCTGCAGTCAGCATCGGGGAGTTCCACGGGAAGACCCACCACAGCTTTCAAGCCAACGTCCTTCGAAACTTTCCAGCTGCAGACATAGATCGTCGAGCCTTGTGTCACTTCATCCTCTTCCTCAGCGTCTTGAAGCTCGAATTGGTGGCTTGGAGCTTGGTGGTTTCCCATTCACCCCCAACAAGAACCAAAATTCAAATGCAAATCCAAACCACCAATCCAAACCACCCACCAAGGGTTGCCTGACTTCCTGCGTCCCAAACGGAGAAAAACAAAGAAGCAGTCACAGATTCGACACATTCGACACACCCAGTATAAATTTCCACGAGCACCCGAGTCTTGCGAAATCCTGGAAGCTAGGAGGTGGGCAATCGCCAGATTAGCGCTGTGAATATGTTAACCCCAAGAAAGGAAGAAATTCAGGGCCCACCTCAACAACCCGGGTACCCAAAAACCCCAGAGAGCGCCAGGATGAGTGAAGCCGGATGCCAGGTCAGTGGAAGGCCGCAAAGCTTGGGTGACCAGCTCCAGCTCAGGTGGAGAGTTGCGCCCGCAGTGTTTCTGTGTGCCTGTTGAGTGCCAACAAGTCCCGAAAAGCCGACATGTTCTGTCACCATCCGATCCGGGCCCTCACCACCTGATTCCGGAATGCTCCAAGGTGTGCTGAGGCTTGCCAAACGTTGTCGACCCTGCCATCCAGAGATGCTTCAGGACAAGGGTCCTCGAACAGGCCACCGAACTACTACGCGGGTGTGGCCACTCAACACACTTAACCAGAACTCCTTGTGGCAGACTACGCGACCTGAAGGGAGAAGATGGGTGAGAAGACCAGGCGCTCGCGCTGCGCGGCTGAGCGTAGCAGCAAAGAGTCTCCCACAAGTCTGCCGCCGTCAGCTTGGACCATGGGGCATCTCCGAGGCCATTAAAGATGTAGACGGGTTCCGCCTGACCTCCCTTATCCACATACCTATCTGCCGTGTCAAGGGAGTGATTCTCTCACCCTCGGCGTCATGGGCGCCTCTTCCCTGATGGGCAACCGCGCCAGAGGCAGCGGCCGGGCGCCAGAGGTCCTGGGGCCTGCTCCATGGGCATGCCGTCAACTGGGATGACCTGGACCTCCTCCACGTCCCACAGGCTCAACCCAAGTTGTGCTCAGAGCGCTAGCCACGAGCAAAAACACCAGCCCAAAGGACAAAGAACAAAGGGGTACCCGAGATCGAAGTGGTCACCCAAGTTTTCTGGACCTAACCGAATATGAAAGCACTATCAACTCTGGCAGGTTCCAAGAAGGCAACAAAAAGTCGTGGAAAAAAAAATCTCTCAGAAGGGGGCTCACGGATTTTGTCTCACCGGAAAGGTGTTGCGACCATGGCTCTGGTCGCATGACTTTATTCATTGGAACAACATCATCGGTCTTCGAGGTAGATACCAGGTCGATACGCGACCTGAGCCAGGGCACGTGTCAAATGTGAGTCCCCCCCAAATTGACCATGGGATTTCTCGGACCCGGTGGGGGTTTTATGTGCTTGAGGGTACCACGGTACCCCTTGGCGGGAAACCAAAAGGAACAAAGCTGCTTGGGAACCCTTTCAAGCATGGCAGTTGTGTTTTGGTCTCCTCAAACAGGCCACCAAACAGGCACTCCCGAAGCCATCATCGAACAACTCTCCCCGTTTGTTGGGGTGCCAATTGGGAGTCATGATTCTCATTCGGATCCTCACCAGGCAAAAACCTACGGCAAAACTGCGTCGGAAGGCGTCTTTGGACCATGGCGCGCCATGGAAGCTGCCTTCAGACGTGAACAAGTTGGCTACCCGAACAAGTTGGCCCCTTGGCCAAAAGGACTCGGCTTCCCTCCACGTCGTGGGTTGGATGGGTGGTGGGCTGGTGGTGAGGGGGCACGCATCACCGGTCAAAGGGAAACCACCGTGTCCCCCGAAATCCATTCTGGGGGGGCCACAAAAAACGGAAAAACACCGAGACATGGCCGTGGAAACCCCCATCACTGCATCACTTGCAACATTCCCCCAAAGCCCCAAGCCCCGTTTCTTGTTTTTTTTTGGGGCCAGGGAGGGGAGGGGGGGGGGGTTCAAGATAAACGTGGCCCACAAGCAGTGGGTCGTCTTTAGCTCCCTTAGACCGACCTGGGCGTTGTCTATCTGCAGCCCGGCGCGGGATTTGTCCATAAAGTGGCCAGTACTAAAACCAGACTTGGGTATGGCCCATGAAAATAGGGGGACCCTGAATGTTGTCTGTCTGGAGCAAACACGGGCATCCTAGGTTCCTCCTGTTGGTGGTTTTAAACACCACCCTTTGGCCAGCTTAAAGCGAGGTTCCGTGGATGGTGTGAGGTGATAAATCTAGACCCGCAGAAAAGGTGCCCAACCCCAACCCCGCCACCAACTTGGAAACACGCCATTTAAAATAGAAACAAGTAGACACACACACACACACACACACATGAACCAATCATGTATGTTGGAAACAGAAGACCCCAGCCCATTTAGGAAAAGTGCCAATTCCTACTGTGGATGGACGCAATCCTGCATCACTTGAGAAACCCTAGAATGATGATTCCCCTGTGAATGCCAACAAACCAATGGTTTTTCATTGTTCCAAAGTGGTGCGAACGGATTTCGCCACCATCCACAGTACTCTGCGAACGCCTTTTCTTTGGCCACGCGACCACTCCTTGGGCAGGATGAGCTTGGCGTGCCGGGCGGGCTGTAGGGTGTACTCCACGAAGCGCCTTCCAGAAATCACTCGCAGCTTCACGGTGTAGAGGTCCTGCTCCACGTTGAAGTTGTGCACCACCACCTCGGCGAAAAAAGTGTGCTGCGAGGATCTGGGGATCTGATTCAAAATGAGACCAGTTGCTTTGGGCCCCGAGAAAAAGAAAAGAACACGAAGAGCCCCCGGAAAAAAAAGGGGGGGGGGGGGGAAATGGGGAGGAAAAAAACAAGAAGAAAAACAAAAACATGGATGAAAAACACCCCGGAGAAAAAAGAAGAAAAAAAAAAGCTCCATTTCTCAGGGACCCCTGCACTGGATCGAGTGGGAAAAACCCGCCAAGAGACATGCCAAGGGTGGGCGATGGGCGAACATCTAGGGCTGCTTCCATGTCCATTCTGAACCCAGGGATCCGGATCTTTCTAGAAAACCACCAAAAAGACCCTGAAAGCAAGAATGGCGATCGGCTTTTAGACCAGAACCATGGCTCAAAGGCTGAAAAGAATGGGGAATAGGAATCAACCCCATAGAGACAAGGACTCCATGCACTGGGTTACCTCATGGCGCCTCAAACTGGGCTCCACAAAGCCTTCCAATGGAGGTAAAGAAAAATGGGAGACATGGGGTCCCGTCCTCCTCGTGGCAGCTGTTTCTGCGGATGAATTTTGGCCAAAGTAACAAAAACTGGTGCGATAGGCCATCTCTTGTGATTTCCTGAAAGGGTGATCCCACAAACAGTTCAATCCCAAAACACGTCACATCCTTGAGAAACCAGCAAGACTTTTTGCTACACCAAGAATCTCGGGGCTTCCTCAAAATGGCAACGCAGCTCCCAAACCTTTCTATCAGGTCGGCCCGAAACCTTTCTATCCAGGTGTGGCAGGAACCCATTACTCGTGGCTTCTAAGAGCAGGGCTTTTTCAGCAGCCCACCCCAAAGAAGAAGAAAAAACACTGGAAGCGAAACACCGGGCTTTGTTGAATTTTGGACACACAACACTGTGCTCCAGGTACCACCTTTCGAGCGTGAGGAAGGTGTCCCCCCGTTTACCCCACACACACCAAAAAAAACACCCAAACCCAACCCCGCCATGAGTCTTGAGGCGTACCCTGATCAGGTTGGTTTACAGGGAAAACAAGAGGGGTGTGTTCCTTTCTTTCTTTTTGTTTTGCTGTTGGGGGTGGGGAATCCCCTTTTGGTCTTGAAGGGAAACCAAAAGGAGACAAACGCCTTGTTTGATGGTTCCATATCCTTAAAGACAAACTCGGCAACCAAGAGAAAACCAAGAGATAACACAAAAACTATATTACATACTGATGTAGGACCAACAACCCGGAGAAAACCAATGGACCCAAACAAAACCATCCGCTGGGTCCCGCCACGTATAATTCAGGGAAGCCCCCGCCTTTTGGTTGATTTGAAATATGGAAACAACAAGGAATAGGACCATTTGGCAGTACCAACAGAAACTCCATCGAAAAACAGGACCCGAACGCTGATGCAACTCGGTCGAGGCACGGCGGTTCCTCTTTCGTCCCCGTCGCCGTTGTCGTTGCCCTGGCACAAAATGGAACGCCTCATTGAAACGGCTGGGTTTACACAAGAGTTGGGTGGTCAAAAATAGGTGTCCGTATAATATGGGTCGCCAAATGGAAATGGAAACAAGGACTAGAACTTGCGGCGCCCTGGTGGTTCGATCTTGACCCGTTCACACCTTAAAAACCAAAGTCTTCGCGTGGAAAATACACGATGAATGTTCGACAACACATTTTAAACGAATGGAATTGTCACCTCCTTTCTGAGTATGCGTTGACACCACGGTTTTAACACCGATGCCTTTGTTCGGAAACGCTCCATTCGATGTTCAACCACTGCCCAGTTCTTTGCAAAACCTACAGCTGGTTCCCCAGACAGGTGGCTCCCCGTAGAACAACTGCTCCCCCCGGAAAATAAATTTATATTTATTTTGTTTATTTAAAAAAGGAGAAAAACAAAACGTGGGGGAAGAAAAAAAAAAACGGGGAGAAAAAAAGGAGGGGGGGGGGGAAAAATTAAAATGGTATGGTCAGCTTCACTCGGAGCCCGGTGGGTTGGAACTTAGGGAGGTGATGCCCCATGTATCCTCCGGGCTTCCGGGGGGTTCAAGTCCAAATCCGAACCGCCGGGCTACCCAAACCACGGGTGACCTGAAGGCTTTTCTTTTTGCCCCTGGCAGGTCACCTCCCAAAAAAAAACCACCACTGCGGCATAAGCAAAACCGATCGGTACAAGGTCACCCCATAATTTTGGGGGTCAAACCCATTTTTTAGAGAATTTTGAGGGTTCAGGTACTAACATGGTCGACCCGGAACCATGTAAAGAGTTAAGAAGGCGGATATCCGCAGCGATTTGTGGCTGGGATTGTCCCTTACTGCCCTCCAATTGCCCGGGGTTTGATTGTGGCTCAACTGCTCTTTTCGCCGCCTCTTGAGTGATGAGGGCAACCAGCACCTTTTCCCAAGAATAGGCTCCCGTGTTTTGCGAGTTGCTGCGATTTTTTGGCGTGTTAGGGAAACTACCCTTTTTGTGGGTTTTGCTATGAGGGTTTGCCCCAAAATAAACACCCCACAAACGCATCAGCCTCTTAGAGAAGAAAACAAAATACAGGGAGGTCAACCCCTCCCATTCTGTCAGAGAAACTCTGGGGAACAAAATGGTTGATTTCCTTTTGGTTTGCCTCTAAGCCAAGGCAGACCCATTTTGCCAGCCCGAAACGAACGCGCGACTCGTGCTCCTGAGCATTGTCAGTCGCGGCGCGCTGAGACTCCTACAGGACGAAAGGAAACGAAGGAGCCCGGCACTTCTGTCTGGGAATTCCCTGAAAAATCCATTTCCTCTTGAAGGGACCCCCTGTCAGGTGCCACCTCAACATGCGAGGGAGTGTGCGTTTCTTGAGGCTACCCTTTTTTGCCACCAAGTTTGGCGGTCCCCCCATTTTATCGCACAAACCCAAGATGGCTCTGTAGACCTCCCCGGTTTGTCAAATGAAAGAAAGATATGGTCCCCCGAGACAAAAATGAGAGACGCGGGCGAAACGAAACTTCTTTCGGCTTCCCCTGGTTTTCCGGATGAGGGAAGTGGGGTTGGAGGTCGATTCTTTGGGTGAAACTCGTTTCCTTTGAAAGTTTAAATTACTTCAACCCAACCCAAAGAGTAACCCCAAAAGCAGTGGTGAAGGTTTGCTGTTTTTCGGGGGTGGTCGCTCTTTTGCTTTTCGGCACTCTTTACTTTGGGGGGTGGGGTCTACCCTTCTGGAGGCTTGCTACTGCTTTTGGAGCGTATCATTCTTTGGACACTTGGGATCCTGTTTCTGGCAGAAACCCAAAAGAACCGGAAGGCCCCTTTTGTTATATCCCCCCCCCCACCAAAAAAAAAAAAAGTCCCCGCCACCAAAAAAGGAACAAGCCCAAAGGAAGCTTCCAAAAAGACCACATCAAGCCGTCGGCTTGTGCTTTAGTGTGCCTTTTGGCGGGGTGTCACCAGAAGGACAACTTTGTGGGTCCAAATTTCGCCATGCCACTTCTCCAAACAGATTGCCGCACCCCGGAAGAAAGAAAAACCAGCTTGCTGACTCCAACTCCAGTTTCATGGGTTAGATCCTTTAAACTAGGTACCCCCTCTTTGCTTGGTAAAGGGAAACCGCAAGGAAAACCGAAACGCTCATTTCAATTTTGGGGGGCGCTCGAAAAAAGTCGACTCCTTCCTTACTTAGATCTGGCAACGTGGAAAACGCTCACCGCACATAGAGAGACACTCGGAAGCCCCAGATCGGCTCCAAGTGTCCCTTTTTCATTCCGCCCACTAGGATTTGGACCCCAAGAACCACCAAAAGAAAAAGCCTCGCCCCAACTCGGAGAAACAAGAAAACCAAAATAATAGAGGGAGAGAGAGAGAGAGCGAGGAAGAGTGAGAGGGAGAGAGAGCGATAGATTGCTGGGGGGCTGGAGGGGGTGACCAAATTATATCTGTACAGAAAGAGAGATAGAGAGAGCGAGAGAGAGAGAAAGAAAGCGAGTGACACAAAGACAGAGACAAGCCCGCAAAACTCGCCGTCCATCTTTTTTCCGTGTCTCCCGCCTCCAGCAAGGCCCGGCAGAAGCGGCCGAAGGCCTCCCGCTGCCGGGGCTCCAGCGTCAGGCTCTCGCCGCTGTGGAGGAAGGCCTCCAAGCCCTGCTCCGCCAAATCCGCCTTGACGGCGGACAGGGCCACGGGCCTGACGTGCGGCAAACACGGCACAGGGCCGCAAGAGGCCGCTGGTGCTGGGCACTCGAAACCCCGCCTTTGGGCGGGCTGAGCACAGCAAAAGCTGGAGAGATCTTGCTCTTCCACCTGACCACCCCCGACGTTTGGGCTCTGGCGTGGTTATGCAGGCTTCCGTTTTCTTGTTGTTGTTTTTGTTGTACTATGGTATCTTTACTTGTATTTTTGTTTTTGTTATGTTTGCTTGTTTGTTGTTGTTATTTTTGTTTCTGGGGGGAGCCAAATTCAAAACCAGCATTTTGGAGGTCTCCGAAAATTTCAAGACACAACTACACATCCCTAGAGCCCTACGAGGCTACCCCGTATTATTTGTGTGGTCTTAAAGAAAAATCAAAACTCCGAACTTCATGTTGGGGATCAATCAAAAAGCCGCCATGGCCTTACTTCGTCTCCCTTTTCAGCCAAGAACCGAACCTGATACCCCATCGCCGCCAGCATGTCCGTGACCCATTGCTTCTCCTCAAGACTGCCTTCGAAGAAGTTACTCATCTCTGGGGCAAACCCATGGGAAGCTGCTTGAGCCAAACTTGAGAGGGTGAACGAAAGCTAACCTAGCCAGTCCCCTGAGAAGCTCAGACCCAAGAAGCGAAAGCGCGACTTGTGGCCGAACTGACTTGCCCTTTTTTCCAGCTTAAGATGGTGCTCAAGACCAGCACATGATGCGGCTTGCCCGTGTCCTTTAGTGAGGCTTTGTGGGTTCACATGGGCCACCAAAAAGAAACCTACCACGTTGAGGGTTACGCTATATTCAAAGCAAACTCCAGATTCGAAACTCATCTACCCCACTCGATGTTTGTTGAAGCAACCTCCTGGGACTTGCATCTTCATCCTTCTTGGAGGCAATCCCATTTGCATGCGGGCGCCAGCGCCTCGCGTATGAACTCGCGAACCTCACCGAACCGCATCGCCGACCTGCAGAGAAGGCAACGCTTTCCATGGCACACCCACCCTAGCTGGGTAGACGCTTGGTTTGTATCCAAGAAGGAGCTGGGTCAACCCCACTTCGCGGCACTTAGAAGTGGGTAACCTAGATTACAAATAACTTACCAACTTGGCCGAACATCCAAGCACGGCAAAAAAAGGTTGCGTCCGCCCCACAACCACATTTCATCCTCTCCATCCTCATTGAGAACACCTCAAAGGCACCCGGATAGTCTTACAACAACAACAACAACAACAACAACAACAACAACAACAACAACAACAACAACAACAACAACAACAACAACAACAACAACAACAACAACAACAACAACAACAACAACAACAACAACAACAACAACAACAACAACAACAACAACAACCAACAACAACAACAACAACAACAACCAACAACCAACAACAACAACAACAACACAACAACAACAACAACAACAACAACAACAACAACAACAACAACAACAACAACAACAACAACAACAACAACAACAACAACAACAACAACAACAACAACAACAACCAACAACCAAACAAGAACAAGAACAAGAACAAGAACAAGAACAAGAACAAGAACAAGAACAAGAACAAGAACAAGAACAAGAACAAGAACAAGAACAAGAACAAGAACAAGAACAAGAACAAGAACAAGAACAAGAACAAGAACAAGAACAAGAACAAGAACAAGAACAAGAACAAGAACAACAACAACAACAACAACAACAACAACAACAACAACAACAACAACAACAACAACCACCACCACCACCACCACCACCACCACCAACAACAACAACAACAACAAACAACCAACAACAAACAACCACAACAAACAATCAACAACAAACAACCACAACAAACAACCAACGACCAACAACCAACAACAAACAACAAACAACCAACAACCAACAACAAACAACAAGCAACAAGCAACAAGCAACAAGCAACAAACAACAAACAACAAACAACAAACAACAAGCAACAAACAACGAACAACAAACAACAAACAACAAACAACAAACAACAAACAACAAACAACAAACAACAAACAACAACCGACAACCGACAACCGACAACCGACAACCGACAACCGACAGCCGACAACCAACAACCAACAACCAACAACCAACCACCAACCAACCACCAACCACCAACCACCAACCACCAACCACCAGCCACCAACCACCAACCACCAACCACCAACCACCAACCACCAACCAACCACCAACCACCAACCACCAACCACCAACCACCAACCACCAACCGCCAACCGCCAGGAACGGTGGACGTCTACGGCCTCCAGATCCTGGACGCAACCCTGTCGACGGCGGAGCCGACGACGTCACGCTGGCCACCCTGGGCGAGGTGCTGCTCACAGCAGGAGTCGGCGCAGCGGCGACGGCGGGGCTGGCCGTTGGGCTTGCGGGCGGCGCAGCCACGGGCTGGGTGCTGGAGAACAGCGAGGACGCAGCCGTGCAGGATGTCCGGTCCGCCAACGGCATGAACGACGCCACGCAGCCCCAACACTTTACGCTGCGCTCTGGCAGCAGCACTTCCGGCAGCCCCGCAAGCAGCCGTGTTTTCTCGCAATCTTTCCGAGTCCAGGCGCAGGCCAACCACACGCCACGCCCCTTCTCCTGGCGCCTGAACCCCGTGACTCTGCCTCAGTCCAGCCGAACTCCCGGGCAAGCTCCTGCAGCTCCGGGCAGTCCCGCCACAGCCGCCTGCCTCCGCCAAGCTACAACCAGCTGGCCCGGGACATTGAGGCCGCACAAACGCCCTGGAGACGTAGCTTTCTTCGCCGTACAAGTGAAAATGCGTGCGTATAAAGAAGCATGGAGGTAGTCACAGCCGCAGCACATGATGAGTTGATGCAGAGCCTGGACTACAAACTGAAAACCAGCAACACCAACTACGTGACCGCACGGCACCAAATTCGATCAAGGTTGCCTTCAGAGTCAGAAACACCAACCCGCTGGCGCCGGCCACTCCGAACCCCGCCTGTTTCATCCAGAGGATCCAGATCTTCGCCAACGACATAAACTACTACGGTCGCACCGTGGCCGCGCACGATCTGCTGAAGGGCCGCGAGTACAACCAGAACAAGGCCGGAGGGCTTCGACAAGGCGAACAACTCCCGGACGCCGCGCGGTGCACCAGAGCGGCTACGCGGACGTGCTGCTGCGCCCCACCATGGTGGGCATCCTGCGCTGCGGTAAGATGCTGCCCCCGCAGCTGAACCTAGTGCTCGAGTTGGAGTTCGCCGACGCCACGACTGCGCTGTGGCCGGGGCGCACCCGGCAGGAGCCACGCTGAGCACCGACGATCCAGAACGTCCGAGTTCAGGTCGTTTTAGACTCGGCGCTCGTGGAGTCGTTCAACGGGTGCTCCGCTCAGGAAGGTCCCTGGTGTTCAGCTGACGGGCGTGGCGGAGCACAACGTCACCGTCGCGGAAACTGATGGGAGCGTTTGTGACCTTCTGGGACAACGACGCGGGCTTGAAGATCCACTTGCTGGCCAACCCGGGGCAGGACGTGGCGTTCATCGGCGCAGCCAGGCAGGAAGACAGCCTCCTGGAGTCGCCGATGCAGAGCCTGCAGTACCCACACAACCCCATGAAGGGAGCCTCGGAGCACTTCCACTTCCGGCCCTTGCGGGTACGTACGACGACACGGCGCGCAACATTGACATCGACCGTGCGGGCTACCTGCGCCACAGCTTCATCGCGGGCTTTCCGACCGAGCGCGTGCCCAAGATGCCCCTCAGCGGTGTCAGCACCCGTTCGGGCGACCTGGCTCGGTTCACTTTCAAGGCACTCGACGGTACGATGACGGACGTCTTCATCCACCTGATAGCCTACCAGCTGGTGACGCTCTCTGGCACGGGAGTCTCGGCGCTGGACTAGCAAGGCTCCATAGCTCAATCGGAAGAGGCGTTGCAGCTCTGAAGCTTGGAGGGTGCGGGCTCGATTCCGCCCTGGCGCGGGCATGGATCATTTGGGCTGAAACTGATCATTCCGGCTTTTTTGCTGACGAGCGCCTCTCCTTAGAATAAGAATTCTATCCTGGTCCGAGACGGATCTTTTTACCTCCAGCCCGGCAAGCGCCTCTCCAGAGAATAAGAATTCTATCCTGGTCCGAGACGGATCTTCCGGTCCGAGACGGATCTTTTTACCTCCAGCCCGGCGAGCGCCTCTCCTGAGAATACGAATTCTATCCTGGTCCGAGACGAGACGGTTCTTTTCACCTCCAGCCCGGTGAGCGCCTCTCCTTAAAAAAAAATCGATCCTGGTCCAAGACGGATCTTCCGGTCCGAGACGGATCTTTTTACCTTCAGCGGTGACTTGCAGCAGGTAACATCCACCCAGGGCAGGCGCTCCATGAACGGGCGGGTCTTCAGCAGCGCTATGATCTCGAGTGCGCTGAGCACCAGCGCGTCGCCCTCCTCAATTCGTCGCGGGCGCTTCGTCAGAGCTCGGCTGTACTCCGCGCAGACCGGGCTGGCCCAGACCACCCGGCGGAAACAGCGCGAAGTCCCTCCGGATGTCGCACAGGATCGTGGGCTCAAATTTCGACACGATGTCCAGGGAGACGACTTCCCAGCCCGCCGCCTCGAAGGCTCGGCCAATCGTTGTGCCGCAAAACAGCTCCAGCAGTCTCGGCATGTTTAATACTCACCACCAGCACGACGAAGCACGCACAGGCAAGCAGTTTCGCATGCTCGGACCAACCTTTTTTTTAATCGGAGACAGAAAAAGGACGATGATGCCAGGCCAGAAGAGCATGTGGAACTTGCCTTTTCAAAGGTGAACCATCATCTTCAAATCCCCCACTTCGCTTGAAAGAAATCTTGGGTGGTTCCACGCTAGCCCTGGACGCCTTTCTCTCACTCGCTCGCAAATCCCCACCTGGCCCTGCTCCAGTACGCACAAGAGACTTGTCTGCAACACTGCTTCCACCTGTGGGTTTGTCATCCTCCTCATCCGAAGGTTCCACAGCTGACTTTGGTGGATTCACGCATGCTCAGTGCTTATGAAGTCCAAGGCCAAGGAAAACCTCTCACTGCATCCATATCACCAGCACTCCAGTTGCCAGGGCTGGGCAATCTGCAAATTGTCCTTGCAGTCATGATGCCCCATGGCCCACCAACAATGTGCACTTTTTCCATCTCAACGCAATGACTAACTCACCAAAATTTGCAAGAGGACCACGAACACATTCTCCAAGATTTGCTGCTGGGGTCTCACGCTGTCGCTGCAAAACATTGTAATGATTGTGCACCATGCACAATGGACCAAACATACAATGGATGTCCAGGTTCTGGAATCCTGCAATGTAATGCCTCAGCACTCTACCCATCTCCTTGGCAGTCCTGACAGCTCGCTCAACTTGTCCATTGCTGCTAGGTTGACCTTTCTCTGAAACTTTCACAGTGGTCGGCATCCCCTGAGACAACCGCATCTTTTCCACAGCTTTGATCACGTTGGTGACTGAGTTCTCATTGTCTGACTGCATGATCACACCAGTCATCCCCACCTTGACCGTAAAATTGTACAGCTCTCGAACCAATCTTTGCGAACTGTGTCC